TTCTCACCTACATCGTCCACAAGGGACGACTCGGGAACTCAACTCCTACCCCAGGTAGCTCACCTATCCCCCTCTGCCCAGGGGAAAGGTATCAAGCCGTTTGACAGCTGATGCTAGCTGTCAAAACGGCTTTTACGCAGAAACAGGCGGGAGGCAGCTACAGCTGCATCCGACGAGGTCGCCTGCCACCGGAAGTCTCCGTTTGTTGGTATTTATAACACCATCAAACATGTAAGCTGTTCTGAGTTAAAACTGCCTTGTACAATTGATTAATTGTGAATTTGACAATGCTGATGGTGTTCAAGTGGTGCCCCAATCGTTTTGGGATTACACAGAAGTCGCCTATTACTGTTACTTTTGCTCTCTTTTGCCACTGTCATTCTATTTCTATTTGCAGTGTTTGTATTGTGTTATCTTCTGCACTTTTTTCTTCTATTATTATTACTAAAATGTATTAGTGATCCAACTCCCTTGGACTCCAGTAGAGACTTAGTTTCTACAGAGATGCATAGAATCTAATCGCCTGCCACCGGAAGTCTCCGTTTGTTGGTATTTATAACACCATCAAACATGTAAGCTGTTCTGAGTTAAAACTGCCTTGTACAATTGATTAATTGTGAATTTGACAATGCTGATGGTGTTCAAGTGGTGCCCCAATCGTTTTGGGATTACACAGAAGTCGCCTATTACTATTACTTTTGCTCTCTTTTGCCACTGTCATTCTATTTCTATTTGCAGTGTTTGTATTGTGTTATCTTCTGCACTTTTTTCTTCTATTATTATTACTAAAAGGTATTAGTGATCCAACTCCCTTGGACTCCAGTAGAGACTTAGTTTCTACAGAGATGCATAGAATCTAATTGCAGTCATCTGATTGTGCCTTCTAATTGTAATAGGGAAAAGAAAGTTCTTCTAGCTTTCTTTTTATTAACAAGAAATTGGCCAATATTTAATGCTGGGTTGACACTTCATCATCAATGACAGAAATGTATGTAAAGTACAGATTTTTTTTGCATAATTTCTTAAAATTAGTTTCAATTTGGATTGAAAAATATATTATCAACATTTCTTTTTAAGGACTTATAGTAATTAATAATTGTTTTTATTTCTATCTAGCAAACACCATGCAATCCGAAATTATATCAGAACATCCATTATTAACAGAACCGTCATCTGTGAGTTTTTATAACTGGATGTCAAATGCAGTTGGCAATAGAGGAAATACAGCTCAAGAGTCTCCTGTCACCAAAGCTGGTCACAGCAGTCTTCCAACAGGTATTCTGAAATTCAGAATTTGCTTTAATACGATAACTGAATGCCTAAGTAAAATAAAGTAAAAGCTATATTTAAAAATAATCTACTCTGTGCTTGTTAATTGAAATGAAAAAATTAGAATAATATACTATTGAACTTAAGATATTTAAAATAGGAATATAAACTGAACTCTAATGATAAACTTGGCCATTATTCTGTTTCTACTAGCATCGTCTACATATTTTCAAAAATTCCTCAAGATTTTCCTTAGTAACTGTTCTGTCAAAGTCAGTTTGGAATATAATGATATATTTATGCCTTTTGACCTTAAGAAAAAAGATAGTCTATGTAATCATTCTCAAAGTCAAAAGTTTGACTACTGATAGTTATTCCAAAGGAGTATGGTCCTGAAGGCAATAATCTCTCCACAAGCAATTTTAGAATGAAAAGACTTCCTTTTTCACAATTACTACATTCTCAGTAAAATTCAGACTGTACTTGGAAAAAAAATACATTCCTTTGAGGTGAATACAGTACTTGTTTGATGTGCTTTATCTGGTAGTGAAAAAGATAATTGTGTAAGATAATTGTGCAGATGTTTTAGGTTCTGAAGAGATAAAAACTTTTTGGCTATTTTTCACTTGCTAAGATTCATGATCGTTCTTCATAATCTGTGTCAGCAGTGTACAATTACAACTATAGACGCACACAGATGGCTTACACACGTGAGCTGAAATTGATGTCATGCAGAGTGTATTTTCCTCAGGATTGAAGAAGTTTTCTTTTTTCTGAATAATTTTTCAGCCTTCTGAATCCTGAATATAGTAGAACTATAGTAGAACTATTAGAAAATTAACGCAGGATCTATTTTATAGGTGTGGCTCCAAATCTTCCAA